CATTGCAACAAAAGAAGAGCGATGCGTCCATTGAAAGATATTTCAAAATTCATCCTTCTGGGAAGTACTACATCCCATACCACAAATATTTCAGATATAACGAAGCAAATATCTATGTATAGATATTTGTTTGTTCCGTTTCGTTATTGTTCATCTGTCAGATCAAGTTTAATTAGTAACATCCCTGTAAAGCAAATAAGGTAAAATAAACTGCTAACACAAATAATTGCGCACGTTGACATTCGTTCAACGAGATGATACAGAATTTTGAGAATGGTTAACACTGAAACCATCGAGCTTATTACAAATCCGACTGCAAATGGCCATGATAAAGAATTCTCTAGATAACGTAGTCCCCGCAATCACATGAAATATATCGAATTTCTGATCGATTGAGATCGTCAATATTTCGAAATTAATAACTTTATTTACCTCTTCCACGCCACATATGCTTCCATAACAGCAAATACAGAAGAACTCTTTCATTTTAACTCATTTTGAGTACCAAATATTCCATCGTTCCCGCAGAACAACGACCACAAATTGCTTTCATTGTCTGTTGTGTCTAAACGCCTAAATGCGAGCCAAAGTCAAATGTAGTACCCAGTTTCAAACGGTATAAGGTTGGGCCTGTGAATATGCATCACGTAAAATAAATAAATTGATCAAAAAAACGAGTTCATGATATTCCAATGGGGCTCGTTTAAGCTTGGGAAAAAACTACAGTTTTTTCTACATGTTTAAAATGAATCTGGTTGTACGCACGCTTATTCTATGGAGGTTTATTTGCTAATATAGATTATTTTGCACACTGATAACTTTGGTTAAGTCAGTCTGTGACCCTACTTAACGATTTCCTGGTTTTATATCCCCATTAAACTCCAAAGAGAAGCATTCATGCCTTAACAGATTAGATTTAACCCCTAATAAAACTAATTCCTTGAAAAATTTTTAAAAAGTATTATTGTTAGGCCCGAACCTCCTGGTGTACAGAGACGTGCACCAAAAACAAAACGGCCAGATGAGTACTTTAACAATTTGTTTTCGGTAACAATAACATTCAACAACTGAAGTGGTATTCCTATCTACGGTATTAATGATATTATCGTAATTATCATTTTTATTCTTATCAAGCACTCGAAGTCCTCCTCTTACGCATGCAAAACAATGCGAGTGAACAAATATTCTCGCATCTAATTAGATGAGAGCGTGGCAAGTGTTTTACAAATTCACAACAAATCCCGTAAAAACTCTCGACTTACAACGGACAGGAAAACTTGAAGAAATTCAGTAACCCACTGAATACTATTTACTTAAAAGTAGCATTATCAGACTCGAAATTCGGGATAATCTCGAATTAAGTCAGAAGACCTGGTTATATTACATTATAAGCTCACATTCTGGCATTCTGGGAGAGACCTCCAAGAGGATAACCTCCTTGCCTCAAGTGTTGGAAATAAAAGTGAAAGCTTTGGTGCAATTTTCTGTTTGCACAACTACAAGAGCCTGGCAGCATGCCTAATCTCCGTTACATACAGCGCACGGGTTGCAATTATGGCAGTCGTTGCGTAACAAAACAAATTCACGTGCTTTCCTCACGAGGGAAAGTTTGACAACGGCGCAGCAAGGTCGAGCTCTCAGTATGACATAACGATTGAGTAGCTAAAAATGATCTTAGAAACCAAGAGAACAAATTTTCCAAACACACCTCTTGAAATATGCTTTACCTTGTCAACAAAGAGTTTTGTTGTGTATTTCTATGTATTAATGCTATCGTAAAGAATGAATCCTCGATATTCTTAAAAGAGGGCGGAACCATTAATCGCACGATACCCCACGGAGGGACGGTTTCTTACATAAGTATCAGAGGAAAAAGTGGAAAAAGGGTAATTACTCGGTCAAAACATCATCACTTACCCCTTCCCCCCCTCCCCTAAATTTGGTCATGATATATTCGCGTGGTCGGCACGTGACAGAGGAGGGATTTTGTTAGCTTCCCAGCCACCCGCGTCGAACTCAAAATAAAATTATATTCGCAAGTTGCGTCACTGCAAAACTAGCACGTGCCGATGCACACTTTGTTTTAACTTTTTCAGGTAACTGAGCCAAGAATTTTCTCTCACCAGGATTCGACTCATCCCACTGCATGTAGTAAACCAGATGCTGAATTTCAGGTTCCTACCCCCGATAACCATAGCTTATGATCAGAGTGGCGAGATATTCAGATAAAAATGCAACAACAACCACAACAACAAAAGTGATTCTATTTATGGTAAATTCGTGACTGCTTAACTTCTTTCTAGCGTTTTCAGTCTGTTGTGTCTGAATGCCAAAGAATCTGTCAACAAAGTCCTCTAGCAGAGGAAATTGGGTGTCCAGTTTCGACGCGTGATTCTTAAGAGGCTAATTTTTTTTCTCCAAATATTACGAATTCTTTTGCGGTAGACGTTATTCAAATGGGGAAAGTTATGATTAAAGTATAACTAAAATGCATCAGAAGCTTAAGTGATACACTAAAGCGCAAGAACACAAAGATAAATACATGTTGCAAGTGTGTAGAGTTTGTTCCTTAAAATCAGGGGGTGTGATGGGGTGAATATAGCAACCATGACATTCTAAGCTGGGACGTAGAGCTTAATTTTGGCTTTTGAGAAAATTGTAATGCTTCTGAAAGGATATACGTGGCTGGTATTTTTTTCCAAAAGAAAATTTCAAACAAAATGAATAAAAAAGGCATGTCAAAGGACTTGGAAAGCAAGTGAAAACACATTTCTCGCAATTAGTGTATGCAGATGAGGGTATCTGATAGACAGAAAACCTGAAACAGCTGTCATTTAGTTTGATTTGAAGTTTACTGAGACAGGGGTCTTATCGAGTAAAGAGGCGAAAATTAGAAAAGGAGAAAAGGAAAAAAAAACATTGTAAAAGAGATCAAGAAAACCTTATGGTAGATTAGTCTGGAGATGGATATTGTTTTCAATTCAAAAATTGCTCCAATACTCAAAATCATCTCAGAGTGTCAAAATCCCCGGGATGGCGAAGCCAATAGCTTAGTCGAGAGAATCTTATGCTCACGCAAACCTGAAAATCCGTATTTACCCCAATCTACCCACTTTTAGTAACACCAGTCTTTGTTTTTAAAAGAAATGTTCCTTTTGCGCGCTTTAACATTCGACAGGTACAGTTTCCGGAAATCTATGAAAACAGGTTAAAAAAAGTGCGAAATAAAGCAGATCTTTATCACATCCTTTTGTATACTAATTAATATATGACACTCTGCAAAATTTTTTTGATTGAAAGAGCTTTGCAAATTTTTTTTTTATTGAGAGAGCTTTTCTCTAATGGGATAGAAACGTGCGTTGAGGGTGCAAAGTTCACGATCGAGAAAAGAGGTGGCAAAATGATTTCCCATTTGATTATGCACTCCAATTTTTAAATTATAAACTACTGTGCAAACACAAATAAAGTAAGCTTGTTCAAATCCCCCTCCCCTGATGGAAAATGTTAGTTTCCTGCGAGCGACGCAACATCGATTTTTACCGAACAAGCTTGAAAAATCTTGTACGCTTAAACTCTATAATTAAGTGAAAAACTCCACATTATGATATATAAGTAGTAGCGATGGCGTGATTTGAAATATTGTGTCTGTGCACAAACTATTGGACAAAAGGAACCAGTTAAGAGAAATACAATGATAACTTACATGAATATTGAAGAAGTTACATGGGTGATTTCTTCTCAGCCAATGCTTCATGGTCGCCGGAAAACTCAGAAGAGATGAAACGCTTTCAGTCCGCTACTTTCTCGGATGTTGCCTCTACACAGCTCTTGTAAAGTGTCGGCGCAGATTAACTGAAAATGCCTTTCAGAAGTGATATTGGAAATACGAACCTTCGATCAAAAGGACAGGTGCTTTCAATGAAAAATGGATCACTTTGCAGAATGTTTGCGGTATGCTGTCACAAAATGTTGTAGAGGCAGGTATGAGACACGAGCATACCGTTGCAGACACCTATAGTCCTCAAAATCTGGTGACTTTTATACTCAGAGCGTATTACATAATTTGACTGGTTTCAGCAGGTTTAGCTCACCCCGTGATTTTCAAGGTCAGGATCATATTCGACTCCCGCAGGCAGCCGGTTGTCGAGACATCAAATGTTGGTACAAGAACCCACTTTTAGGGACCCCTGAGCGAATTCTTAACATTTCCGGACATACAGAAGAGATGTTAACACCTTATATTTTTTTGCTTCAAACGAGAAATTCCACGAATTCACGAGAGTGTGTTGTACTCTTCTTACCTTCAGAGAAATCGGACAAATCGGCATCAGGAATGGATTGGAGTGCTGTTTGCTCCGTACATTCAAGTACTTTGTACTTATGGTCGCTGAAAAAAAAATCTGGGACTTAAGATTTTGATCCTTTAAGATCCATACACATTTTCTTAGTCTTCATTCCAGCAGTAAACGCATTAATATGGGTAAACAAATCCCTCTAGTGACAGATCAGTACTGCAGATCATGTTGCTAAACGATTCAGTCGCAGACAAATTATGGACTTAATAAAATTATATACTTAAATTGAAATATTGTTTCCACCACAGACAGTTAAAACGTTTCCCTATCATATCGATAACTCCCTTTATAAACTTTCAGACCATCCGTGAAATACTCAGTTTGCGACGAGAATCACAATGAAATGAATCCAAAACTTTTTTAAGGAGAAACAAAAAAGAACAAAAAAACCTTTCGAAAACGCAGACATTTTTCAACAATAAAGATGTTGAATGATTGGCTTTACCGACCTCACTACTTGCCCCAACCCTCCCCCCTCCCCTAATTAGTTGGCTCCGAAAACAACCGTTTTGAAGGCAATTGGCAATTGTTTACACTAGCTGCCCAGTGTTTACATTATGAATTAAATGGATCCTCTTGACCAGAGAAGATTTTCCTCTGGCTAACCGTACTATGGCCATGCATTTCCGTGCACGCACGAGTCCATTTTGCACTAGAATGATTATAATTTATGGCCGGGCAATTTATTTTCCACATTCGGCAAGAAATCTTAAATCAAACCGTTTCAAAGAGAGACCTTTGCCTCCACGTAACTATCATTAAATTTTATTGCATAGTTTTTAGGCAGGAAATACTTTCAACACATTGGTCGCGGAAGTTTTATACAAAGCTTTTTAGCTGTTAAAACTGCTGCACACTGACGGCTGAGAAGGATGCTCTCAGTAAACTCTCTTTGTCAATTAAGGTATTAATCTGTTTTTTCAACCCGATGGAGCTCTGAAATGACATATTGATGTAGAAAACGTCTCTTTTTTGGACAAATTGACGTACAAAACACGGTTTTTAAGATCTGGAAGTTTTAAAGCCGGCTACATACAACTGTAAAAGTGTTTGAGAGATGAGCACTTCTAAGCGAGTGACTACGCAATATTTTTATCTGGTCAAAGTCCAGTTTCGTTGTTTACAGTGTTTTATGGCAAGAGCTCTTCTTCTTTTGGTTGATTCAAGACCCAGAGTATTTACCACTTAACGTAAAGTTGGAACTCAAAGTGAATCGGTCGCACACACAGCGAAAAAGGGAGAAAAAAAAATGATGAAAAGACCCGTGACCCGTAGATTACGCATCGCTCTAGTTCGCCTTTTATATCTCTGGTTCACTTCTGCACGACCTGTGTACTTCCCTGGTCCTAAACTGTAAACGGTTTGTGCATGAATACTGGAAGAGACCAGTAATGCCAGTCCCATGTATTATCCATGGCTGTTCTGCTCTTTTCCAACAAAGTAAAGAAAGTTGGCGGCCTTTTTTGACGAGTTCATTCTCATTGATTATTAGAAGAGGCTGAAGGAAAGCGGTTCAAAATTAAGTTTCTAAGCCTTTCCCGCTACTTGGATTTGTTACAATCGCTTAAAATAAGCCACAGATTGATAATAAGGTGTCTGAAATCGAACGCACTCGCTCGCCGCATGCCTCGTCACCAACTATCAGTCTTTCAAATTAAATGCCGCCCTCGTTGATGTTGTTGTTATGATTTGTTCTCACTTGCTAATGGGATCAGAACAATTTTGCATTGGAATCTTTCCTGATGTCTGGTAACGGCTCTTAGCCTGTCCTATATTCCATTAATCCAATTTCACTTTCTCCTGGTGAGAGACAAGAAAATTTCCCATTCTTAGCTCTTACATATTTGCTGCTGGGTTTGACCATTCCTCTGCCCCCCTCTACTCAATCTTTAAAGGCTTCTGTGAAATTTGTATACGAGAAGCTTGAAGGGAGAGTTAACGAGCGCGGGAGCCCCCACCAAGAGAAAAGATCTTATCTTCATCATTTGTAATGCGCATCGGAACGTATTTGAATGATATATGCAAAATTTATAAAGGAACTGAGGGGTTACGAGCGCCCTTCAAAAGTTTCTAAATGACTCGCCTCCGGCTCGTGATATGCACATTTTTCGAGTGTTCACGCCTGGGTCATTACCCCTGTAAACCGATAGAAAGTGCGGTCTATTGCTTAGATTAGTTCTCCATTCATTATTTCTGTAAAGAGGAAAAAGATAGATTAGAGGAATGTTAAAAGCCGCTCAAAGCGCCAGAGTTTAAAAATTCGTTACGGCGTCTACATACTATTGTACTTGATCGTCAGCCTTGCAACTGCGGTGTTAAAGAATCAATAGGTCCTCAGTCATTGACGTCAATCCTTTTCTTAGAATTTCACAAGCACTTGGAATGAATTCGCCGAAATGGGTCTAACACGGATGAGAAAACCCCAGCATAAATATGCAGCGTTTTTATGGTAGGGCCATTTCATAATACTTTGAGTATCTTCTTGTACAGTGTGGAAATACCTTCGGCTTGAAAGGGACGACAAAAAATCAGTTAGTAACAATAAAAAAGTAAGAAAAAAGATATTAATGTGCAAGGGAAACTACATAGATCGCGTAGGAGAGGGAAGATTAAACAGATTCCATTGAAATGACAAACTTTTGGCTTAACCCATCAGATTACGGTCACCCGTTTGGACTTACGGCTGGGTAGAGTGGAAATAATTATTCAAGTTTGCCCAAAATAAACATCGATCTTGTTTCCCGTGAGAAATTACTTTCAAAAGTTTCCCTTTCACAAATCCGAAAATTTTCCTGGAAACATTCTGTCTTCCTCTTCCTGTAGGGAAGAGTTAACTGAGTAAGTGACATCATCAAGCACTGAAAAAAACAGAGATGGGACACTTTCTTTTAAAAATGCAAGATATTTTTCAAGCAATTCATGTAATTAAAATGCATAGTTGTAGTTGAGTTCCATAATCAAATCTGTCACAATTTTCTTTTGGCGCGCGTGACATTATTTTGATCGATGTGTTACGAATCAAAGCCAGCCACGTGGATTATTTACATACCTTTTGTTTTTTCTGTTTTTTTTTCAACGATCTCTTGTTTTGACGTATTCATTGTTTTCCCGGAAATCGATGCAAGGAACTTTCTCGGAAAACATAATGATGTCATAGCATTAATTTTGCTATGCGAAGCACTTTTATTAATTGTCTTCAGCTATATAAGAATATTGTAACGTTGAAGAAAATTTTGAGCTTTTGGTGAGGGAATTTTCAGGTTAGCGAATGCAATTTCTTGATCACAAGCGATCGATTGTTTGTCCCTGTTTCGATCACTTTAAAAGTTGTTATAATTTTCCTTAATGACCTACCGTGTTTGAAGTAATTTCCCGGTTGAATCGCCCTTCATTGTGAAAGGAATTTCAATTTAGGGCTTTGCATTGATACTCAAGCTTTTTGTCATCATTTGAAATTTTAATAAGTGACACCATGGAGAAGGCTTCCGAAAGCAAAACAGATGGAGAAACCGAAGGAAAATTTTCAGCTCGGCCGTACCAAGTGGAACTTCTAGAGCGGGCGAAGGAAAGGAACACCATCGTATGTCTGGGCACAGGAACTGGTAAAACGTTTATAAGTGTCATGCTCATAAAAGAACTCGCTCATGAAGTAAGAGGAAACTATAAAGACGGCGGGCGAAGAACTTTCTTCCTTGTAAATACAGGTACCTTCATATGTTTTGTCTTTATGAGATCAGCTTTACCTCGGGGGAGTGGGTACGATATCTCAGCGCGGGTCGGGCCGGGGTTGCGAAGATGGGTAGTAGCGGTCCTCGCATACGTACAAATACAATTCAATGGAAATAGAAGAAATGATCGTAGATCTTTCCTTATTTTTGCCTGATTATGCCTTATTGGAACCTTTGATGCCAGAAACTAAAATATAAGATCAAGAATGTGGTTTAAATTTTGATTTCCTTAAGTCGAAAGGAGCTTGAGGATTGTAGACGAAATCAACTCCCTTTGTAAATAACATGTCCTTCCTTTTTTCACAGTTCCACTAGCTAGCCAACAAGCAAAAGCGATCGCTAAACATACAGACTTAGAAGTCAGGCATTACGTTGGAGAGATGGGTGTAGATTTCTGGGACAAGCCCACTTGGGAAAAAGAGTTCAATACAAGCAACGTTCTGGTCATGACAGCTCAAATATTCCTCGACCTTCTGTTGCATAGCTACATACTTCTCTCGCAAGTGAATCTCTTGATCTTTGATGAATGCCACCATGCCAAGAAGAATGATCCTTACAGACAGATAATGCAGTGCTTCAGCGATTGCCCACAGCGCCAATTACCCAAAGTTATGGGTTTAACTGCCTCGATAGTAAATGGAAAGGTAAAACCTTATAAAATTGAATCGGAGATCCAAGAGCTGGAACGCACATTAAGATCTACATGCGAAACAAGTCAAGACGAAGATGTTGAAAAATATGCTGCTAAACCCGAAGAACTGGTCCTTGTTTACAGGAGCCAGAGCACTGATGAAAATGTAAACATTTTGATCCAAATCCTGTCAGATGTCTTAAAACCAGGAATTGGTTTTCTCCGCGACTGTCGGGTGTCCAAAATTGACGAGAATGCACACTGGTACGCGAAGTTCGCTCTGAGAGAGTGTAAGGAGACATTGGATGAACTGGGCCCTTGGGCTGCTTTTAAAGTAGCAGAATACCTAATTAAGGATCTGGGTATGGTACTGTTTCAGTTTTAAGGGGAACTGACGTAACTGTGCCCAAAGTTTAAGTCAAGTTTTCGAAAAATCATAATACGGTCAACGCGAACCAAATATCATAAATATTATCCAAAAAGAAGGGAAAAATTTCATGACTCCATTTCCAAAAATTTTGGTTTTATAGGTTTTTTTAAAATTTTGCTTTAACTCTTTACACCCTAACATCAGTATACATATTCTTCATACTGTTCTCTACACATTTCTTAAGGTGCTGACAAGGAGAATTTGCTTAACAATCAAGAGCTTCTTTAGTTGGTGATCATTTCCTTTAATCTTGATACCCTAATGGTTGATTGATTCTTGGGTGATCCTGTTAGGAGAAGTTAGATGCAGTCACTCAGAGAGTTGAAGAGTTTAGCCTACATGACAGATATTGACTTAATGTTTATTAGAAATAATAATACCTCATAATACCAAATTATTCCAATTCAAGCAAAATTAACCTGGGATTGGATAAAAATGCCTTTGTTGGCATCTTTTGATCAACTGGAGTGGAATGCACTTATAAACCGGAATCTTTTCTTCTAGACAGAGCATGCAAGGTTCAAAGCAGCAAACAAGGGCGATTGTTTTGCGAGTTTAGTGCCACCCAGCTGCGTCAATTGCGGGGCATTTACTGTAATTTTACTGAAAGTGATGGGTCTGAGGACAGTGGACATTGTTACTTCATGCCTAAACTTCAAACACTTCTGAGTGTTTTCAGGGAGTTTGCTAACTCACAGCATGGTAAGGAATACTCTGCTGACTGCTTTATTTATGGAACTGATATTTCATTTCCTCAGTGAAAACCAAAACAGAAGATTAGCAAAGTGGATATTTTTGCACTTCTTATCACAATTTGACATTTTCTTTTCTAAGATCTCTCCTGATTGTGTGCCAAACCTTCTTAAAATTTTAACCATGAGACTTTGTGTTAAATTTCGAAATATCCACTGCCCATGATTTTTCTTTCCTCTCAGCTCCTGTATATTTTGAATTGTAATGTTATTGCGAGGAGAAATTTGTTTTGGTTTGCTCTTAGCAGTGAGAAGTGAAATGGAATAATATTAGTGGTACCAGTAATAAAAATATTGATGATATTGACAGGGCCAAATTGATTACAATCATTATAGTAGGAAATTTAACAACAATAAAAATGATAATGATGATAACAACAACGATAATAATCTCTCAGGGGGAGATCAATATTCAGTAGCCATCTCCTCATTCCACCAAGAAATGTGAGGAACAACATTGTGGTTGAGGAACAAATCACGGGGACAAAAAGATTAAACATGGCTACATCTGCTACCCAGCTTCACCTTAAGGAAGATTTAGCCAATTGTTAAAAGTAATATTAATAAGAATAATCTTTTAGGTTTACTTTTGTTTTTTTTGTCAATCCATACACGCTAAATAACCAGCTTTAAAATTGGCTCTTTCTTGAAATTTGTTTCAAGAGTGATTTTGAATGTTACTCTGCAAAACAGCTTGGTGATCCTCAGTTTGGTTATTTTGCAGCATCTGAAGAGGACAAGACCCTCTGTGCCATTGTGTTTGTTGAAAGACGATACACAGCACTGATCCTCAGCAAACAGCTTAACAAGGCAGCCGAACTAGATCATGAGCTCTCATTCATCAAAAGTGACTTTGTGATTGGTCATGGCACAGGTGCAAGGGTTAGCTACTCCAGTAACACAGAGATGAATTTTAAGAAACAGGAGGAAGTGCTGCGCAAGTTCAGAAATGACAAGAAAAGACATGAATTCAATGTGCTGATAGCCACCTCTGTTGTTGAGGAGGGGTTAGATATTCCCAAGTGCAATGTTGTCTGCAGGTTTGATTTCCCAAAGAATTACCGCTCCTATGTACAGTCAAAGGGCAGAGCTCGTGCCAAAGGTTCCAAGTACTACATGCTGGTGGATGAAAAAGAGCAAGTGGAAAAAGTGAATGAATTGGAGGTACATAATTATTTTAAAGTTATAAAGTCAGTAATAATCCATACCTACTCTGGTGATTGTCATTGATAATGTTTAGCTGAGGATACAGAGCACCAGACTGCTGTGTGGGAGATAGAAGGTTCTAACCCCAGACTGCCGACCAACACTCAGGGTCCTAGAATAACGGAAGACTGTGCTGCCTTTGTTAAGACATCTGCAAACAGTTAGACATTCTGGTCAACTTGTATAGGGATAGTAAGCCACAAGCCCCATCTTCTGTTTCTCCTCTCTACTGGTTAGCAGGGGACGTTAAAGAACCCATGCATTTCTTGCAAAGAATAGGGAACATAGATGTCATTGTTATAGTCTGGCCTTTAGATTTTTTACACAGGCTGCCTTTTAAAGCAGCTTTAAGCTGAACTGTGAAAGCTGGTTTAAATATCATAAATAAATTCATAACCTGGTTGAATTATTGTGAGGAATGTTAATTATTCTTCTTCTTAATGTTCATGACTTATTCCCTAGATGTTGCGTGCTATTGAGGAAATCTTGTTGGAAAGATGCCATGATCGGCTGGAGCCATCAGTGGAGGAGTGTAATGAGTCAGTAGACACAGATTTACTGCCACCGTACATACCAGTAAATGGAAAGGGAGCAAGAGTAACAATGACCAGTAGTGTTGCTCTACTTTCAAAGTAAGTGCAAAGAATTTATTAACTTTGAATTGTGTTGTAGTTCTAAATTTGAGATAATTGGTTGACTTGTGTATTGTTAAGTAATGTGGTTGTAAAAAGGGAAGATGTGCTATATATGGGGTAACATACTTGGGCACTGATTGTGAAAAGGGGTGATTTCTATTAACTATGAGTATTACTGTAAAGCTGGCTGTTTGCTTCCCTACAAACCTCAAAATTGCTCGTATTACCTCTTATCTTTCACTGAAATCACTTGGAATTCATGAAAATTCAGCAGTTAAAAGGACAAGTCTACCAGTTTGATAATTATTTTTACCTGTCACATTGAAAATAAGGGAGTACACTGCCTCTTTAAAAGCTCTTACACCACATCTACATAAAGTTATGCTCTTTTAAATTTTAACTCAGGGGTGTAGAATATTCTTATACTTAATATGGAGATGACCAATTACTTAAAATTACAAACTTTATAAAACTAGAATTATAACAATATTTCTACTTTTGTCTTTTCAGGTACTGTTCAAAGCTCCCAGGTGACCGGTTTACGCAGCCCAAGCCAGTTTACAAGGTTGAGGAAATTGGGAAATATCTTTACAGGTGTAAACTAACACTCCCAATAAACTGTCAACTATGTGATGATATAATAGTGAGTTTAGAGGACTTTTATTTTTTTTAAACTAAGACATAAAATTGTTATTATGGAAATTTGCCTATTTCCACTGTCATTATCATTGGCTATTGATAATATTTATCTGCCTTCTGATTGGTTACGTAACCGCCTCCCGGTTAGCTCAATTGGTTAGAGTGGTGGACTGTGGAGTGGGAGGTCGAAGGTTTGAGCCCGGCCGAACCAACACTTAAGGTCTTGAAATAAATGAGGAGAATGTGCTACCTTTCTATAATGTCAAGAAATGGATAGACATTCTAGTCTTCTCAGATAAGGACGAATAAACTGTAGGTCCCGTCTCCTACCTCTATTAATTAGTCAATTTGGTCAGGCAGGGGACATTAAAGAACCCACTCACGAGATTACTGTGATGTGGCTGGCCAGTTTACTGGGAATTGGGGGGGAGAGGGGTCTGCCCTTGTCATTGTTAACGCGGGATCCACTGTTATTGGCTAAAGCTGTAGTGGTCTCCATGCCTGAGATAATTGGACGAAGCTAAATAAATTAAATTACAAAATTACGTTATTGGTACTTTGGTTGTGATTTTGTGTCTCTCAATTCAACATTGTTCTAATTCTCTGTGCTAAGTTTCAAGCAGTTTCTTAACTCTTGGAAATTAACCCTGTAACTCTCCAAAATTCTAAAAATAACTCTCCTGACTAACTGCTGTACATTTCCTTGTAAATTGGAGAGGACAATATGGTGTCACATTAAGACAACACCCTAACGCTGATGAACTTATATATTC